AATTGCACACATACTGAGGCCAGATATAGTATATTGTACATTCTGTACATTCCATTACACTAACCGTACTTCAAATCAAATAAATAAATAAAAATCACATGCGCCGAATACAGCAAGTTTAGACTTTACCATCAAATGCTTACTTACGAGCCCTTTCCCAACAATGCAGTTAAAAAGTTTTAAAAAATTAAGATCAAGCCCACACACAAAATTAACAAATAGATTAAAATAAAGTAGTAACACAATAAAATAACACAATAAAATAACAATAACGAGCCTATATACAGGCTATATACAAGGAGCACCGGTACCAAGTCAGTGTACTGCGTTACGAGGTAGTTGGGGTGATTGATTGAGGTAATATGTACATGTAGGTTTGGTTTGGTGATTGATTGAAGTACTATGAACATGTAGGTTGGGGATGAAAAGCAGAAAGTCCGGGTAGATGTTTAATTACTTTCAACCACTAAGAGCTTTAACAAATGTTATGTCAAGTAATGTAGGTATAGTAAATAGATTTGGTCCCAAAGATTAGACAATTGAATAGGTGAAGTAGACAGCTTGTTTTGTTATCAGGCCTTGTGTTCAATGAATAGTTAAGGACATAGCCTCCCCAAGCCAATAATGTCAAACTGCAAAAGTCACCATTGTAATGCTTTGAGACATCCCTCCCCAACAGCACAGCATACATGCAGGCTAAATGAAATGTGACGGTTCCAAATGGGCATTCTAATTAAATACCAGTTGGACACAGCTTTCTTAGCCAGTGTCAATTGGGGCATTGTCTTCTTGAAGGATGAAAATAAGCGTGATAATGGAAAGTGTCTGATTTGCCCAAACAATCCATTAAGTTAGCCCTGAGCTCAGTGAAACCCAAAACCCACAAGGTCTGCCTGCATTACCTTGGCACCGGAGTCAGGTCAGGGAGGGTGTATGTGTAACAGCAGTCTGGGAGTTGAGAAAGTAGCACTTAAGGTTATTTGAAAGAAAGGTGCTCTTTAATCCGGGGGGTTCTAACGCGACCCCACCCAGGTCCAGCCTAAACAAGCCACCCCATGTCTTTGTCATGGCACATGTGAAGTGTGGCTCATGACGATGATGATGATAACTTTCTTTATAGTGCGAAAGCTAAGATTCAGGAAAACAATGTGATTCTAAACAACTCTTTCTTTCAATTCTTAGCAGTAGCACTATTAGCTTTTCAGCTTGTGTAAAGCCAAAACAATCCCATTAGTTTGAATAGGCTCAGTAGGCTACATGTGACTTGTTGGCCCAAAATGCATCAGATGATCAAGATTTGTTGTGGGGGATCATTGTTGGGATTGGTTAACAATGTCTTAACTGAAATTAGCAATGGAATTCCCAAATAATCCAGAGACAAATCTACCCATTTGAATAGCCTGAAGTGATGTCTGACAACACAGGCTTTGGCTGGATAGGTTTTTATAACGGCAACAGAACCCTTAAATTAGTGAACTGCCACACAAACCCCAGTCCACACAATCTTTTCCAAAGCTCAATGGTCAGGTAGCAACCACCCTTCCCCCCTTCAAAGACCTGACTTCCTATCCCCTTGATAACCTCCTATGGTCTCTGCCTGTCTTTTAATCAAGAGGGGGGCTTTATCTGGGGGAAGTGATTAGCCACAAGCTCTTACACCCCCCCCAAATCCTTTCACTAACGGCAAAAGAGAAAAAAGTTCCCCAGACGTCCTGGTATTGTAGCTAGATTTCCTCTCTCACCCACAAAGAAACGGTCAAATCTTCCCTTTTGAGGAAAGAGTGGTAAATTAAAAGTTTTTGTTACTTTCTTGGAGATATGGGCCCCATACTCACCCACCACCCATTCCCTCATTCCAACCTTCTGGAAGATTTATAGGAGTAACAATAGGGGGAACGTTATCTGGAGAGCGCAAATGTCAAACAGTTTGAGATAAACCTGGAGCAATGACGGAGGTTATAGCCCTCTACGCTGCAAACAGGATAACACTGTTAAGCTGTTTCAAGAACATAAATCTTTCTGCATACCATAAACTACTCTGCAAAATGTGTCTCTCTGATGTAGCTTTCAACATTTTGAACTTAAAAATATGAAACTCATAGATATGAGTATTTGTTAAATATTTACAGTTGATGAATTGAATAAACCTGCAACTCATCTTTTTTATTGTCAGTACTGTGTGACTGGGAGAGAAGTACAAACAAATACAATTAGATACAGATACACTGAATATGATGAGATGTGTAATAACATAGGTATGTTAATAATAAATAATATTCTCTGCATCTCTCTTTTGCCGTGAGCAAAGAGTGGATTCTTGAGAGAACTTGTGACAGCGACATAAATCAGTAAAGCCAGCAGCTATGGGCAGTGGGTGTAGGAAGGGGGGCTGCTTTTGTGTCAGAAGTACTGTGTTCACTCATTCACTCCCCAGCTGCAGATGGTTTTCAGGGCTCCGGTTCCCATACTTAGATTAAATCTTCCAAATTCTAGCAATAAATGAGTGTGTGTGAAGAGGTTACTGATGAAGGAGGGGGAGGAGAAGGTAAGGAGAAGGATGAGGAGAGTGTTTTCCACAGGCTGGGTCTGGGGGGCGGGGAGAGATGCAGGAGGGGTGCTGGGACAGGGAGATTTTCGTAATCAGTCCAACCAAAGAGAGTCCCCCTTTTACCCCTCCTGTAACTTTATTGATTACATTGTGATGCAGGGAAGGCCTGGGAACGCCATGCAGCGTTATGCAGGGGTAGCAGCTGGCTCCCTGCCCACTCTAATCCACAAGCTTACTGCTCCAGCACAATCAAGCTCTGGAGACAGAGACCATTTCACTGGAGTTTGGGGAGGAGGATCCTTATTCTGTCAGCCAGATAGTCTCTGTCCCGTTGACTTTGTTGTGTAAATGTTATGACATGCACAATGTTTATGGGCAATTCATATACTCTTCCCTTTCTCTTTATATGTCTTCTTTTCAATTCTCCCAGGACTCCCTTTCATGGTCAGAAAAGATGAGCTTGGTGCTGCTGAACATATAGTTCATTCTGCAAATATTACTATGCAATATGGACAACAGAGGTCACTGTGTATTACACCCGACACACTGCCAGCCTCCTAGTAAAATCAGCTTTCTGTATGTTGAATCAGTCTAACTTCTGTATCACAAGACAGTGTGACACTTATTTCACAGTGGACATGATTAATATACTGAGTTCAAAGAATGATCTTTATTTGGAGAAAAAAATACATTTAAAGACCATACAGCTATTAAAGTACAGGTACTCATAGCACAACAATCATGGTAGTAAAAATTGCATAGGTCTTTGAACCGGTTTCCTGGAAATAATTACAGAAATACATTCACTACAACCAACTCTATATGGTAGAAATAACAGAAATGGTACACAACACAAGAAAAAAACATTTGAGTGAAGAAAGCTCTCCAGCACAGATGGCTATGCTTGGGAAAACCCCCCAAATAAAACAGAGAACTGCATCAGGCCTAAAAGAAAGGAATGGGGGGGAAATAAATGAAGAGATGGAACTGTGGAGGATGTTTACATACATTCAGACCAGACGGGGCGTTTGAAGTTGGTCATAGTTAATTCTCTGCTTTAGAGTGGCAGAGCAGACACCACCTCGCTCCAGCCTCTTTTTTATGGCTTTAGAAAGGAGAAGAGAGACAGCTGGAGTTCTGGCTCAGAGCATTTATTTACTTCTCCCTGTGGCAAAGTAAAAGTTATCCACAAAGAGAGCCGGTGAATGGCTCACCCCGGGTAGTCTTGCCCTACGTTCTCCTTTGTGTACCTTAGTTTAAAGCTAAAGCATTCTGTATTTGTTTCTTTTCATCAATGGAAAGAAGGCCTTTAAGCAAAGGGATGGCGCCGGTGTGGTGGTGGTGACTATGTGCTTCGATATGGCGATTTAAGACGTATGAATGTGAAGGAACGATCAACCTTTGGCTATGTTGAGGGGAGCAATACAAGGTTTGGTTTTGGAGGTACTGACATAAATACTTTTATCCTAAGAATGCCTTTCCTTAAAAGGGCAAGGCAGGACAAGTAACCTGACCCAAAGCCAAACTCAAAATATTACAGAGAATTAAATAACAGATGTGGCAGCTTGTTTTAGGAGAGCACTAATAAACCTGACTTGACTGATATGTCAAAATCAGGAAGAGGACAGGGTCTTTGAAAAGGGTATAAAAACTATCATCAGAGGAAGGGAGAGGTTTCCATGTTGAATACAAATGGATTTGTACTGTAAAATATTCAGCTGGATGTCAAAATGAATGAAGCCAAGATCACAAGGGAATGGATATCTGGGACACACTCCAGTCACATAGCCTACGTACATCCTCCTTCCTCTTAAAAGTCCCCGGACAAGTAAAAACTAGAAGAGGATTTATCTAACCTAGGCTAATTCTGCTGCTCTGTATTTATTCTCACGATCTTCAAAACAATATGCAGTTGTGACCATTACAAAGTTTTGTGCCAAATAGATCAAACCTGTCCAGTTGGTATTGAAGCACAATTTCATACAAAACAGAGGTTTTGGCTGTGGGTGGCGCTCCCTTTGAAATGCTGAAAGCTGAACACAGAGCCTTTCTAGAGCCTGAGGCATTGATCGTAAACAGAACAGAATTATGCATTTCAATCCATGAGATGAGGTATTTCATTAATATTTACCAACTTGATCAAATATGTTTCAAACAGTGTTTTAAAGCGGCAATCTGCAGTTGTAACAATAACCAAGCGTCCTCGCAGCCCTTTTCGGTAAAAAGCAGAGGGATGGGCTGGAGAAATGTAACCAATCTGAAATTCATAGACATAGCTATGACCATCCCAAATTATAGTTTTAACCATGTTTTGAGGCTATATAGTGTTTCTTTACATTTACTTTATTTACAAACATAGGAGTAAAACAAGCTTATATTTTGGGTTCTGATGGGTTACGACAGTTGAACTAAGCTCATGACGCATTTATAAGTTATTTTCTTAAAGAATCAATAGGTACATATTATTCATTTATAAGTCCAAAAATGGATGTAGCAACTGCAGATCACCCCTTTAAAGTTTTATTTTGTACAAACAACATTTTCAATCCCGGTCTTAAATGTATTGCTTTTGATGCAGGGTAAAGCAGACAGATCATATCCCAAGAAAATAACATGATTCACAAAGTTTGAAAGAGACAACTTGGGGAGCTGGATTTCACTGCTATAATGTTCAACTGGGCTCTCTTTTCAAAGGATAATGCACTCAGATTCCATTCACAGGCATGCTGTCGAGAAGAGTATATTGCAGACACTACCCTCTAGTGGCAGAAAATAGTTATTTCGCCAACAACTATTTTGTTACTTTAGCAAATACAGTCAACAAAGAGCCAAGGAAATTACATGGGATAAGTATTAAAATAATTTGAGAATAAAAATGCTATTCGTATTTGATTTCCCTCAACAACAGAGATGACACCTACAACAGACTAACTGCAATACCTTCACAAGTGTCACACTGAAGACAAATTATTTGTTAATATACAAAGACTTGAAGCTGATGTTAGGATACAAAATGATCTGTTAAAGACAATTAAATAGAGGAATCGATATCTGGTAACTGCATTAAGCTTTTTTTAAGTATGTTATAAAACTCAAATAAGTGTGTAATTCTTTACAATGTATTATTGCTTTCTAAAGAAAACTAAATAAATGTAATACAAAAATAATATGTAGTAAACCACCTTCAATGTGATGACATTTAAGGACCTTAAGGTTGACATTCACATTATTTTATTGTCACAGATGAACATACCATTTTAAAAAGAGATGGGTCCAATTCAAATCTTCTGAATCACGACCTGGAATTTACCTGTGTGAGAACACAAAAGGTGGTAATATTACTTAAATAGACAAACGTCTGACAAAGTATACACATATTATGCACCTTGTCATTAAAGAAGCTACATGTAATATTTTTGCATTATAAATTCAGTAAATGTCTAATATATCTACAGTAATAGTGGAATTATAGTATTTCACAACATTCCCCCCCCCAAAAAAAGTTTTGGGCCCACACAAAATTGCATTCTAATGGTGCAGCCTTCTTATTGGTCAACGAAAGACTGACCAGCTCTTGTTGTCAAATTAACTGGGTCTGAGCGGCACGCTAACCGATTACAATCCGTTAGCGCGTGGTACTTATACAAATCGCTCAGCCTCAGTCAATTTGACAAGAGATTTGATGGCCACAAAAATATTACATGTAGCTCCTTTAATAATGGAAAAGGAATCACTGAAGTGCTTCAGGCTCTGCACCAAGCTGATAGATAGTCTGCTCAGAACTCACCAGTGTTGGTATCCAAAGAGGACCCATATAGAAAGTGCCTCTAACGGCTGTTTCAATAGAAACTGCTGAAACGCTATCTTAGCATGTCAAGCTAACTACGTAGAAACACCTGATCGTCTGAAGTTGCTGATCTGTGCATGTGCAGTACAGCACTCCTTTGAAATAAAGTAGTTTTTGACAAATATGGAATTGTGCAATTTTGTTACTTTCGTGGCTATGTAATGAAGACACATTCAGCTCTTTAAGAAACTGTCTAAAAAGGGATGAGTTTGTCACTCAGCTAGCCAAAGTCCTGCCCTGGTCTGCTTAACAACCTTTACAGGAAGTGCCTGTCACTGAACACTCTCTGATTTGAAACCTCTCTGTAGTATCGGTAATGTTTGGTGTGGTATGATGGTATATGATAAATGATGATGATAAAAGAGACTCACATGAGGGCATTAGGGAGACCTCAGCTGTCACCACGCAGTCCATTCCCAGGTTAGACAAAGCTCCTCTCACCAATCCACAGGAGTATGCCAGATACTGTGGCGAAACATACCAGACAGTTACGGCTGAACATTTGCTTCTGAGTTAAATCACTGAAGGCCTATATTTCAATCTATTTAGCTGAATATTCTAGATTAATGCTAAACCTAGGGCCAAATTGGTGTGCAAGCATTTGTTCCATCCAAGTACTAACATGCAAACTTTAACTTATCAAGTTTAACCTGGCGTTAGTGCCAGGCTGGAACAAATGTGTTCCCAGCCTGCGTCCACAGAACCAGGATTTAAGACCACTGTTGTAGAACGAGAAATGACTGGGTCTACTTTTTTTAAACGATTGGATGTCTTACTTTTGGAGCTTCCTCAAGGTACTGCTTCCCGCTGGAAAACTGTGTCAAGAGTGCAAACTTGTTGTCTTGCAAAACATAAGTACCCTGTGTAGAAATAAGAAAGACAGACCATGAATATTAGGGAGGAAGGCCATGTGTAATGTGGTACATCAGCAGCTGTATTCCTAAACTAAAGTGCTTTATTTTTCAAACATGGGCACACCTGGTGGTTTGTCCTAAGGTTGTCAATTTGCTTTCTGAAGACATTTATCCAGAAGTCTTTACAGATAAATTTCATGATATCCAAGTCATCTTTGAAGCTGGGCGAATCTTTTGTAAACCTGGAGGATCAGAAAACACACAAGGTTAGCCTACATATATTGAGGATGTCCTTCAGGTAACACCATTTCAATCAGGTAATGTGATACTAAAGTACTTAAAGGTGGAACTTAGGTCAAACTGAAATACAGGGCATATGCAATAGTGAAAACTGTTGTCCTACCTTTCTATAAGCCCCTGTCCTACTCTGAAGCCCATGCCTTCCAGAGTGGACACACAAGTAGCCCTATCCTGTGGAGAAAAAAACCCCATAAATAACTAGATGTGACAACAATGGATTCAACAAACACACCTTTTGATGATGACCAAGCTTTCAAACAATGTTGAGTGGGTATGTCAGGTAGCTGTCTAGTGACGTTACGGGCTTAACCTACCTTGTCCATCTCCCCTCTCGAGGCTTGGTCTTTGTAAATATGGGACACCATCTCCATGTGGAGGAACTCAAAGAGTACGTCGTCGGCCATTTCTGAAATAAAATAAAAAATCTTAATACCAATGACAGGCAACGTTCTCTAGCTGACTGACAAACGTATAAAACATGCAAGCTAAATGATCCTGGTAACGTTACAGTGGTGGAGAACATCTAGCTAGCTAACGTTAGCTAGTGCTTGAAACTGCGGGCAATGCTTTCTTCTAAATTAAAATATAATTTGCTATCTATGTGCAATCAATATGATCACATATTGCTAACGCATGTAAATCCAACAAACTACCTATTTTACAGCTCTGGTTTGAGTTACTTTCCGCTAAATTGCTCACGATGTAAACAAAGCGTTACTTCCTGACTACGGAAGCTGCGAAGGAGGCACAACTTTGCTTAGGCGTGCTGAAGGACAGAAATAGTTGGATGACTGATTACAGGAAGAAAGGCTAAACGTTTTTATTTAGTGTTTTGTTCAAAATAAAAAACAATCAGACACTATGAATTGGTTAATAGGGTCACCAGCTAGGCCAACAATGCAAATAGTTTGTTTCTTCATGCAGCTCAGTTTATGTGAAATTCCCTTATTCATATTTTAAGAGCATCAGAAACTATGCATTGGTTAATAGGGTCACCAGCTAGGTCAACAATGCAAATAGTTTGTTTCTCCATGCAGTTCAGTTTATGTGAAATTCCCTTATTCATATTTTAAGAGCATCACATAATTTCAATGCATGTCCTTTTAATTTGTCAGGTTATATCAGGACAGAGATGTGTTTTCAATTGGTGAGGTGATGCACATTTTCAGTCTGGGAACACACAAAAAGTAAAAATAAACACAATTGATGTTTTATTGAATATCTTCTCATTTTAGGCTACCTTTTGTTACAGCTTCAATGTTATGGGCGGCAGGTAGCTTAGTGGTTAAGAGCGTTGTGCCAGTAACCGAAAGGTCGCTGGTTCTAATCCCAGAGCCGACTAGGTGAAAAATCTGTCGATGTGCTCTTGAGCAAGGCACTTAACCCTAATTGCTCCTGTAAGTCGCTCTGGATAAGAGTGTCTGCTAAATGACTAAAAGTATATTGGTATTCTGGTATTGCTTAGTTATTAGAGTATACTACAAAACAGTTTGGAGTTCTTGGACTATCTGATGCTGAAAAAGGGCACTCAAATAATTGTCCTGCAAAAAAAGCTTGCGTTTGAAATAAATGTACATCATATTTTCCTTTTGAAGAAGGACATTGCAACATGCATTTCTAATTCCAAAATGGCTAAAGCTACTGATGCAATTTGCAATTACGCAATTCATATATAAAATCAGTCCTTAATTGTATGTTTAATTCTTCACTTTTAAAAATACAATAGTATCAATTACATTTTCATACACATTTCAGTCCATAAATAAGACTGTGTAGCTCAGTTGGTAGAGCATGGCGCTTGCAACACCAGGATTGTGGGTTTGATTCCCACGGGGGACCAGTATGAAAAAAAAATGTATGCACTCACTAACTGTAAGTCCCTCTGGATAAGTGTCTGCTAAAATGTACAAACATGTACTATCATCACAAGTATGCCTCTTTTTATTGTACTCATTTGGACTAGGTTTAATGTCAAGGTGCATACATTACACTAAGTAACTCAATATCAATGGACTTGATAAAAGTTCTGATAGAAGCTGGAAGTCATGTATTAAAATTACTTTTGGAGAGGGTGAAAATTGTCTTAAAGTCCCAGTGAGGTCAAAAACGTGATTTTCCTGTATTTTATATATATTTTCACACAATGAAGTTGGCATAATACTGTGAAATTGTGAAAATTATGATAATGCCCTTTTAATGGAAGAGCTGTTTGAAAAGGCCGCCTGAAATTGGCCATGTTGACAGCGTTCCCCAACCCCTCCCCGTTTTATGACTAGTCGTTCAGTACAACATCGTTTCCATTCAATTGAATGTTCCAGAATGAAAAAACTTACTGAAAGCAGCCCAAATTCCAAACCTTTCTGCCAATAACAACTAATTTTCAGTTTTCCCCTCCCCATTCAGACCACTCCCAGACAGTCCTAGCAAAATTCTTGCTTAAGACAGGTAACAAATTACAAGCAAAACATGCCAAATTGCAGTACTGCCAATATGTAGTAATACAATTCCAAGACACAAATGAAGTGATCTCAAAATCAAAATAAACATGTTGGATGAGTCTCTTCTGAGATTGCAAATGTAGACTTCATTACTATATTGCACTTACACACTACTGTACCTCTCATCTTCAGCAACGCTAAAGAAAAGTAAAACACATTCTCTGGCCTAAATTAAAGCAGCCATGTGTGTCCATGACTATGCAAAGAGCTGTGCAAATGGAGTTCTACAAAGTCCCTGTTTAAAACAAGTCTTCATTGTAGAAATGTAGTTACCAAAATATGTTTAGCAAAGAGAACATTTAGGAAAGAGGAGAAATTTGGATAAAGCCTTTGCTTGACCAGCTTCCACATAAATGTGTATGAGTTAATCAAACACAATTACGTCCTCATGAAAGTGTGCTTTTTCCTAGTAAGGAAACATACATTTAAACATAATTTGGGGAATCTAGCAGGTCTCAGTGGATGATTGCTGGCAAATTGGAATCTCTCTCCTTGACTAGATTAAATAAACCTCTGCACTATGGTTTGTCAAAATTATCTAGATAGTAGACTTTAAAATATATCTGATTAAAACATCAGATTATTCACTTCTGCACATTAAAATATTTGGACATGACAAAATTAAACTGAAGAGTCCCTCATAAATGTAAGCACACATATATTTTTTCTTCTACTCTTCGAAAAAAAAAAGGTTATATCTAAAACCTAAAACGGTTCTTCGGCTGTCCCCATAGGAGAACCCTTTTTGGTTCCAGGTAGAACCCCTTCGGTTCCAGGTAGAACACTTTTGGGTTCCATGTAGAACCCTTTTCACAGAGAGTTCTACATGGAACACATAAGTGTTTTACCTGGAACCAAAAAGGGTTCTACCTGGAACCTAAAAGGGTTCTACTATGGGGACAGCTGAAGAACCCTTTTGGAACCCTTTTTTCTAAGAGTGTATGCTTTCCTCTGTCAGAGCACTGTATGTTCCACTACTGGATGAAGCTTCAAGAGCACTCACTTGTGCTGGCACTTGTTTGAGAGTCCGTTAAACAGAACACCCTTCTGTGGGGAAGGGGGAAGCTGCTCTGAGGGGTATGGTATTTGAGGTTCAGGCCGCCCATTGTCTGAGGGCTGAGGGTTGGGTGTGTCACTAGTTGAGTTCTCATCCCTGGAGGGTGATCCTTTGTGGACCTCCAACAGAGAGACCGTCCAGGAGGGAGATGTAGGCTGTGATGGGGAGGCCTTGCATGAGCACGGTTGGTGTCCCTGGGTTTGGACCTGTTCCACTCCTCTCAGGATGCGCACCAGGGAGTTGTGGACCTGCTGGCTGATAGGAGTGTCACTGTCTTCGGGTTCGGTCTTGACATGGCGGCCTGTGGAGAAGTTGGAGAGCTGCTCCAGGACCTCTATCTGTCGGTCCATCATACCCAGCATGCTGCAGTGGAAGGCCCTTTGCTCAGCGAGCTGTTCCCCTAGCTGATGGTTCAGGATGGTGAGCTGCTGGAGGATCAGGGTGCTGGTGTCCTCACAAGTGCCTGTAGAGAAATGAACAGCAGGACAACTTGTATTTGTTTTAGGTTATCGCTGTAATATCTATTATCCAAAGCTTTAAACAATTGATAAATACAAAGTAATTCCAACAGATTAATTACACGATATTAGTTCAAAATAACACATTAATTACATAGAATATAGGTGGTCATGTAGCCACTCTAAACTCATCAGTTATAAAAGCACTCACCAATTTCATCTTCTGGACTGCAGCTAGTGGGGTCACTAGATCCCTCACCATCATGTAAAGAGGGTACTGAATGTGGCTCACTCTTCACTGGGTAAAGATACTCTCCAGACAGACCCAAAGTCATAATCTCTTCTGACTTCAGGGCCCAGCCCGGAGTGCTGACGTTGGCCTCTTCTGGGATGGCGTTAGTCTCGTCTCCTTCTCCATCTAGAGCTGGAGCCAGGCTGTCCTGCCAAGGGGCCACAGAGTCGGGCTGAGCAACATCACCTGGGAAGAGAGAGAAGAAGAGTGAGCAGAGCAGGCCAACACAAAGCATACACTTCTTTACAACTATTTAATGTCACATAATAAATGTATAATAATCCTAAAGCCATAAAGTAGTACCATCAGTATGATCCTCCATGTCCAAAGGGGTCAACACCACCATATTGTGTCCATCTGCAATGCCTTGATCTGGGGCCCCCACCCGGGCCCTCCTGGCCAGCATGCGGTCCAGCATACGGAAGTAACGGAACGCCTCGATGGTAGACAGGCGTGCAGCGGGGCTACGATATCCTGCCATCTTGATCTTGCGGTACTTGTGCTTCAGGCTCTTCCAGCGGTTGCGTATTTGGTTGACGGTGAAGTGGATGTCCTGCTTGGCCAGGCTGTAGCGCAGGCGGCGGAAGTGTGAGTCATTGCGCTGGCGCTTCTTATCCAGCTCATGCACCAGGTCCAGCTGCTCGATGAGGGCCAGCATGGCGAAGGTGTCCGACTCTGTCCACCACTTGTTGGGCCTCCTCTCACTCAGGTCCATGGTCTCTCCCTCCCCTCACTGGGTGTACCTGCTCTGGTAGCAGCCCCCTAGGCTCCTCCTGGTTGGACATAAACAAGAACACATGGAAAGAGATTGAAGTACTACACCATAATTAGGCTAATGTAATTTCTGTACATAACAGGTAGACTGAGGGGTAGCCGAATTATTATGATAAAATGCCCTGATATAAATGTTAGACTTTCTATTCAAATATATATTTTTATCAATATGCATCAAAGAGCAGCATTCAAGTTGCATTAAAATAAGCTAGTATTCAAGACAGAAACATTGGTATTTAAAAAAAATCAAATGTATATGACAACCTCACTATGGGAGAATAAATGAGTCAAGACAGCATCCAAAATAGATACTGGATATAAATGACAGAAATAATTGTGACATAAACCACTCCAGAGATGTTCATTACAATATTCACACAAGAGTACAGTGACAGTTTCTTCTCCAGTCCCTTTGAAGTTCACCCAACAGCAAATCACGACTTTCCCACGTCAATTCCACTCAGATGAGACATGATGAGCTGAGTAGTATGTATGCAATGTGAACTCATGCAGACATACAGGAACATAACGCTGTCTTCTACAACAACAAAAAATACATATGCAATAGTCTTTCCCTTTTGGTACAGTTAATTACTTGAAATAACACTGATACTGGAAATGACAGATAACTACATCACACACCATACAGTCAGACTCATTTAAAAATAGCTAACTAGTCATCAATAGTCTGACCACTGACAACCTAACTACTAGCTAGCACTGGTTAGTTGACAGGTCCAGTGCCACTGCTGACAGTGGCCGTAGCTGGGTGGTTGCAGTGGCCATCACTGGCGAATGCTGCCGATGAAGAATGTAATTTCTTACAGAACACTGCGGCCATGTCTTAGTGCATCGGTCAACATTTTTTTTCATACACAAACTATTGTTTTAAGTTAATAACCATAAAATAGCGCTTACTGTTAAAGCTACAGATTGCACTTCATACCTTCATCTCAAAATATTTTACGCTGCGTCGAGGAAGCTTGCTTGCGTCGCGATCATATGGGGTTTGTTGACATCAATTGGCTTGTTCGACTTTGCAGCCGACAGTTGGGGAGACTGCCGACTGATTGATCTACAAATCACCGTGCGTCATAAATAACGACTCATTATTATTTGTAGATCAGGCAGTCAGTCACCATTTACCCATGATACATCACGGTTTTGATGCTCTCCAACACGGCCAATGACTGTACATGGTTGACGTTCCCAATGTCACATGTCGTTCGATCTGTACTCTGATTTGTCAAGAATCGTACTGCATACTCATGAGGGTCAGTCTGTACGAGCAGCTGCGTAGACTCTCAGATCTAAACATCATGTAAATGTTCAATTGAAAAGGATTTAACAGATTTTAGTTGTAAAGATTAGCGAATTTGTGCAGTACTTAGTTTGGGCCAACCCTCGTGAGTGAGCGTTTTGACCGACTTTCCGTTGCTCATGTGATTATTTTTTGCAGGACTGTGAAGGTATGAGAATTTGTTTTTACATACATTTTATGAATATTATGAATAATAGCAGGCTAGCTATCTAGATTCGCATTGGTGATTTGATTTACTTTTTTTAATGTAGTTTTTTTATGTAGATTTAATGTAGATTGATTAACATAACATGTCAAATAGTTACATTTAATAACATGTTATTAAAAGGGGGGCAAATTTCGATGGGTATCATCTCGCGCTAAAAATGATTTGGGATAGCGCCCAATTGTGGGGTGAGGCACATTCCGATGGGCAGCCAGGCATCATCTGATGATGCAACAGTTCCGTTAAATAATACCATTAGAACATACCTCCCTGTTCCATGAAACTATGCCTCCCCATATAACATTATAGTTTCTACTTCCTACTGTAGGCCTTCACAATTCTCTTGTGTATTTAGGTGGTGTGGAATGGCAAGTGACAAATACCAGATAGTAGTGCAAGGGGAGGCGTCAGAGACCGACTCAGATGATGAGGTGTACATCACCTCCCTCTCTCCACATTCAACTGCCGGAGGGCAAAAGGTACCAGGGGAAGCATCTGAGACTGACAGCGAGGGGGAGGTTGAGAAAGCACGGAAATGTGTCATTGCTGCAAGCTCTGAAAACCCACAAATATTACGCAAGGACTTAACTCCGCTGCTTGTGATCAGAGATAACCCTGACATTCAGTCCGTGGTAGAGGACAGGGTTGTGTCTAGGCCTGAGGAGAGTGGGCTCTACTACAACACTTTACTCCAGCAGAAATTACAGGAGAGCAATGCACATCTGTGCACGGATGTGTCCCAGACTATCAAACAGGTGTATGGCAATGCCACAAAGGAGATACGCATGGCCACAACCCACCTGAACAGCTCCCAGAACGGCATCATCAACGCCTCCCATAGCATCCGACTCATTCTGGAGGACCTCAAGTCTGTCTCAGAGAAAATAGACATTATCACCAGCTGCTATCTGCTCCCCGATATTACCTTCCCCTCCTCTCCCACTACCCCTATTCCCGGACAGTGATGTTCCTTATGATGTTCCTCATTCAATGTTTTCATATGTCTTTCTTATGTCTTAAACAATGGACAGGAGTATCGATATTTGTAAACAGCACTTGGATTAGGTGAATAAATTATGCATGCCATTATACTATAGCTGCTCCATGTTATTCTGATAATATTCAGATCGCTTATTAATTGTAGTTGGTCATAACAAAGGATGCTTATTGCTCTCGATCATACATTCAAGTATTTAGCTGTTCACATTCACAACCACATGAGATGTCTTGTCAATCACTGTCTTTTCTAATGTACCAAACCCTGTGTAGGCCTTGTGCACAGCCCACTCTTGTGGTGTAAGCAAGGCACTGCAAGTGATGGGACCGCTGTGGTAATTTTTGCATAGGCCTAGAGTTGAAGAAACTACAGAATCCCCATTAACAAAATTATGACAACATTGAATTCTAGGTTGTTATCATTTTGCATTACTGTAGTCACATGTCAGTCATTGAACTGCAATAGGCCTCTACTTCAGAGAACATTGATGGAAGAGTTTAATCTTCCCAAAGATATAGAAAGTGTTATAAAATTGAAGATAATTTTTTATCCAATGGGATTCTGGAGGGTTTGACCAGCCATTATTTTTGCAGAGTCACTGACATGTCATGTGAGACTAAGCATTTGGCTTGGCTCCCAGGAAGTGCGAACTGAAAGTGATCCATTCTCCCAAGGTCATCTGAAGAGCATGTCTGATCTCACTGCTGCTCCCATAAACTAGAGATGCTCCATCGAGTTGATTCTCTGTCAACAGCTGCTGGTATTTCCCTGGAAGGTTCAGCTTCTCCATCTAGAGGACAATGCCGACATGACATTGTGAGACACATTGATATATGTATTAGGTACACCACACCCATCTAGTACCGGGTCGGAACCCCTTTGCCTCAAGAACAGCCAACATTTTTTGGGGAATGGAAATGTTGCTCAGTTGGTATAAAGGGACCAAAGTGTGCCAGCGTTGACACCAGGCAGGATGGGACCATGAACTCATGCTACTTATGCCAAATCCTGACTGCCATCGGCATGTCGCTACGGGAACCGGGAATCGTCGATCCAGGCAATGTTTTTCCAAATTGTCCAGTGTTGGTGATCATGTGCCCACTGGAGCCGCTTCTTCTTGTTTTTAGCTGAAACGTTCCTGTAACGGCGGTACATTCATGCTGCGAACAGCCCGTTCCATCTCATCCCAAAGATGCTCTATTGGGTTGAGGTCTGGGAACCGCGCAGGCCACTCAAGTATTCTGAACTCGTTGTCATGTTCCAGGCAATGTTTTTCCACAACACAATTGCCCAGTGTTGGTGATCACGTGCCCACTGGAGGCGCTTCTTGTTTTTAGCTGATAGGAGTGGAACCCGGTGTGGTCGTCTGCTGCAATAGCCCATCCGTGACAAGGAACGACGAGTTGTGCGTTCCGAGATGCCGTTCTGCACACCACTATTGTACTTCGCCGTTATTTGTCTATTTGGGGCCCGCCTGTTAGCTTGCACGATTCTTGCCATTCTCCTTCGACCTCTCTCTTCAACAAGCTGTTTTCGCCCACAGGACTGCCACTGACTGTATGTTTTTTTAGGGCATCCGTTTCTGAGATACTGGATCCGGTGCGCCTGGCATCGACGATCATACCACCCTCAAAGTCGCTTAGGTCACTCGTTTGGCCCATTTTAACGTTTGATTGAACAGTAACTGAATGCCTCGATGCCTGTCTGCATGCTTTATATAGCAAGCCACGGCCACATGACTCACTGTCTGTAGGAACGATACATTTTTGTACCTAATAAACTGGCCGGTGAGTGTACATAGGACATGCAGACCTATGTGTGTCTCTCCTCACATGGAATGTGAAGGTGTTAGATGTATCACACTGCACATTCTATATTTGACTCAGTGTCCAGTGGGCCCCCATAGTGGTCTACAGCCAACAGACATACTGAATTCTGCATAGGCCTAGAGTTGAAGAAACTACAGAATCCCCATTTATTAACAAAATGATGACAACATTGAATTCTAGGTTGTTATAATTGTGCATTGCTGTATTCACGTCAGTCATTTTGAATGGTGCCATTGGACATGGTTGGTCGTCATTGTAATGGGCACCGGGGGTTAATGGAAAAGGTTATGGCGTGTGGGAAGTTACACCATTTGCGATGGCTCGCAAGGGACTGTACCGAATGCATTCTGCTGCTATGAATGCCAAGCTTGTGAGCTGAGCGCTATTAGCACACATCACTCCTGAAACAGAAAATGTCAAGGTAACTGACTTGGCATTTTCCCGTGTTAACAAGTACACAATAGCAGACTGAGGGACACTGTCAAACATTTATTTGACGGGAGTATTGGGTTCTGTTGTGACTGATCTGTCTGATACAAAAGTGTAACATTACGCAATTCATTTTATACACGAATGGACTTAGCTATATGAGTTATGTAAATACCATAATAACTATGTATACATGACACTGTATACTGACCTCCATGATATACTAGCCTATATCATAAAATAATTCAAACAGCATAATGATTCGTATGTTTAACATACCTCTTTGCAGATGTCCTCTGTGCTCATACTGATAACTGTCTCTCAGGCTGACTCCCCCTCTAATCCAAGCCAGTTTTTCTTTAATGGATTGGTCCAGGTTGACTGTACACAGTCTGAACTGATCAACATCCTTCAGAGTAAACTGGAAGTCCACCTTAAGGAACCTTTCAAACAGCTCAGGGTCTCCAGACGATCTCTGAGCATGTGGAGCTCCAGTCTGGTCTCACTGAACACCTCCCATAAGGTCCTGGCATGGTTGATATCACCCTCAGCGCCATCAATGTCAGCCCTCTGCTGGCGGTCCTCTGAGCATTGCAGGATCCAGCTCAGACGGCAGGGCCAGAGGTTGGCCATCACCACCCAGGTCTTTAGCTTTGGAGAGACCCCCGTAATTCATAACATCCATGACGATGACTGTCACCCTTACAGAGTATTATCCTTCTCATATGCACATGGTTTCCCATAAGATAAACATGAAGAGGGCTGCATTTGGTATATATGGCGTGTAATGCCTCATTTGTTAGCGCCTTGACTTTCTTGGCCCAGATCTCCCAACGGACGCCATTTTCTAGTACCTCAGCCTCGCTTTTGCCCTTTCTAATGAAGGGCACAAGGCTGTCATCAAGCCTTCCTTTTTCAAATGCAGAGAACTTCCCAGCTCTGTGTTTTCCTCTCTTAATAACTTTCCAGTCAGACTAGATGGCTGTCAGCGAGGGTTTTAAAAGCTCTGCATTTGTATTATATAGAGATACCGTTACAGTGTATTGCCAGGGTAGATAGTTTCCCCTGTGCCTGTTTCGTTGGTCGTTATTCCAGCATATTTTGTGTAAAGAAGGAATCAATTCTCTATTCGGTGATTACCCTCCTGCGCCTGACTCCTTCCATCACACTCATCACAGAATCACCCACCCGCTATGGAGTCAGCGGGAGAAGAGCGCATGCCTGGAGTCGTGGCACAATTCCAGGAGCAGTCTACGATGCTGGCCAGCTTGGGGGAAGCGATGGATCGGGTTCTTCAGGTCGTCCAACGCCTGGAGAGGACAGAACTCGATCTGTCAAGACCAGCTGGCCAACCGGATCCAGCCACCTACACCCCAGCACCCGTAGGGATCCAGATATCCCGACCACGGGCGTTCGATGGGACGGCGGCGCTCTGCCAAGGATTCCTCCTCCAATTGGAGCTTTACTTCCCCAGCATCAAGTCGGCGCCATCGGAGCGGGAGAAGGTGTCCGTCCTCGTTTCCTGCCTCTGTGGGAAAGCCCTGGAGTGGGCCAACGCGGTGTGGAACAAAGGAGGAGTCGCGTTGGAGGACTACGGGGAGTTCGCTCGCCTTCTTCGGGCGGTCTTCGATCACCCTCGGGCGAGCGGATGGCCCACCTGAAGCAGGGGACGACGACCGCGCAGGACTTCGTGTTGGAGTTTCGGACTCGGGCAGCGGGGTCCGGGTGGAACGAGCGGGCCCTGATCGACCATTTCCAGTGCCATCTGTGGGAGGACCTCCGACGGGATCTAGCCTGCCGGGACACCATGTTGTCCTTTACGAAACTGGTGGACATGGCCATTCGTTTGGACAACCTGCTGGCAGCCAGATGACGTCCTGGTAGGGGTCTGCCCGTTTCCAGCCCGGACGACTCGGATCCCGAGCTGATGGAGCTGGGTGGAGCTGCCGTCCGAGAGAGCGGAGGAAAACAGCGACAGTGCCACTCTGGTGGCACGAAGGGACAGTACACCACACGTCGTAGTCATCGTTCTTTTGGGCCTGGAGGCGGCAGGCAGGGCACTCTCGCATCACCCCAGGTATCGAACACCCACACTTGTTCAGAGCCCTCTGCTGCGCACTGTACCCTACCTATCCACTTTCCCGATCACATGGTAGTTCCCCAGTGTAAGGCGCTAGTCGATTCAGGCGCATCTGGGAACTTTATGGACAGGGCATTCACACGACTTCAAAGCATTTCATTGGTTCCCCTCTCCATTCCACTCCTCATCCGAGCACTTGATAGTTGACCATTAGGTTCTGGGTTTGTTACGGAAGTCACTATACCAGTCACCATGATCACCCAGGAGACACATTGTGAGCAGGTTATTTTTTCGATTATTGAGTCTCCTGCTTTCCCTGTGGTATTAGGTATCCCTTAGCTAGCACTCCACAACCCCACCTTCTCATGGCCGCAGAGGGCTCTCACGGGGTGGTCGCTAGAGTGTCAGGGTAGGTGTCTAGGTGTTTCCATTGGTGCAACCACGGTGGAAAGTCCAGACGGTACCTCCACCGTGCGCATTCCCCCCGAATACCTCGATTTGGCGCACGTGTTTTCTGCGACTAAATTACCACCTCATCGGGTGGGGGATTGCGCGATAAACCTTCGGGTAGACGCTGTACCTCCCAGGAGTCATGTGTACCCCCTGTCGCAGGCTGAAACGGAGACTATG